ATCGTGAAGTAGTAGCTGCTTTTGCTCAATTTGGCTCAGATCTCGATGCTGCCACTCGATATTTATCAAACCGAGTCGCGAGACTAACAGAAGTGTTGAACAAGGTGCATCCATCACATCGGGGGGTGAGCTAGAATTAGCGGGGACGTTATACGGTTCATAGAAGGGGGGGGTTATTAGCTGCAGTTGTAGAGGGAGCTGGTAAGACGGTAGGTTTTTTTTTTCAATTAATAGCGGCGCAACTTTTTCCTTGGTTTGTACTGATTTGCAGGTCTGCGGAAGTTTTTCTTTCTTACGAACCGGGGTATGTCGGTGCACAATGACACAGACCAGCGGAGGACAGCAAGGGGAGGAGGGTAGACAGTGCCAGTCACGCACAACTTCGCTTCAAACTTCGCTTCAAACAAGGGGAGTAGGATGGAGATGGGTTTCAGGTTAACAGTTTAATCTCAAATGTGAACCTTAGACGAGGGGCTCACCGCACCTCCTTCGGAATGAAGCCATTTTGCAAAAAATGTCAGACTTCATTCACAAGACTGCTCGTCGATGTCAGACTTCATTCACAAGACTGCTCGTCGAAAGAACCGCCCTCCTTGGCCACACAGACTTTCGAAGCACCCGCTACCTTTCCAGTGCGGACACTGAAACCGTTTTGTTTGTTTTTTTTCTTTTCCTTGTGCTATTAGCATTGTTCGGAGAGTGCACTTTCCACAAGTTCCCACAACTTTCGAAATTCCTCCAACTTCGTATTTTGGATTCATAAACAGTGCATTGAAAAAATACAGCTGTACTCAATTCTCTTGGTAATATTGGCATGTAATCATTTATCTACAACTAACCAAAGTTTCCAGCAAAAGGATTCTGAGTGTGATAAAACCCACCCACAGGCGAATTTCGTTATACATTATCGTGAATTTCTGATATCGACAAGACCAATCATGGGCTTTCCAAATGCCGATCGAGACCGGCGGTAGGTGCCTGCACCTTGGAAATGCCTTCTGAGGTCTCTCTGAAGCGTTTCGATATTTTTTGGAAATCACTCGTGTCCTAGGCTACCAGACCGGCTGGCCGGGTCATCCTATTTTCCCGGGAAACCCGGCCGTCCAACGACAAGGGAAGGTCCCGGCCAAATAAAAGAACAGAAAAATAAAATGAACAACTTTTGCCTCAAGGTCACAATGAAATTCTGTATCAAATTAAAATAAACATTTTTAAAAAAAATAATGAAATTTCCATTTATTTTTTTTCTATTCCTCTTCGGCACGGGCAGGCAAGTGGACCCGGCCCAGTCTGGTAACCTAGCTCGTGTTAAAATAGTGTTCGAACGCACACCCGGGGTCGATTTTCAAAGTTGCGGAAGGCTTTGTGGCGAGCCTTTTTCCCCCGAGCATAAGGCACACGTGTTGTAAACGAATACGACGCATAGTGTTCAATTCGAATACAACGCGCATGCGTTCTCTTTGAATAGCCTGAAATATCGAATACAACGCACATGCGTTCTGTTCGAATTTTTGTTCAAATTTTGACACTCGAATACAACGTATATGCGTTTTGCTCGGGGGAAGAAGGTAGTCGCGGAAGACAGTTCGTACGCCTGAGATGGTTTTTACTCGAATACAAAACATGCGTTATGCTACGATCGTGAGTGCGAGGGCAATTTGTTTTCATGTCTGGAATTTGGAGATAGGTTTTTCCTCAGACACATGCCCGTAAGCAAAGCTGGCTGATACTGCCAGAAGAGAACTCTATGAATTGTGAGATCCCCGGCCTCCGTCCACTCGCTTAGTCGAACAAAATGAAATTTCTTAAAGCAGTTCTGGTGCTGTTCACAACATTGCGTTATCAAAGCTTGGGTGCTGAACGACGCCACATGCCTTTAAAGGCATCGAGGGAGGACGGCAGCACAACAGATTGATTGCCCAGCGACAAAATTCGTACCTTCCTCCCACAACCCACCACACACAAACCACGGCGCTGAATGCACATTGCCATGTTCAAGCGGAAGATTCGTTCTCGTTTTGCATGTTTTCCAAGCAGTGGGTAGGCGGCCCTGCGAGCCTCGTCCGACAACTCGCATGAGGTGCCAACTTCGGTCCTCCTACCTCTACTCTCAGCTCGCACAGGAAGTCTAAGAATATGGCAATGCATCTTTCCACGTTCCGTCAGAAGATTGTCTCATTTCTAGAGCAGCGCAACACCCATTCTTATTATTTCTGGACAGGTATGTATCCATTTAAAATATTATTTCCACTCTCGACAGTTGCTATTGACGTCATTGTATGTACATTCCGACGTGTTTCTGCCGTTAACCAACGACACCAAATATTGGCGCTTGGAGATCGGTGCGTGGAGCCCTTGCGACAATCAAACACGACCCCGCTGCAATACTCCACTCCGTACAGTTTCCAGTTCGGTCATCGCTCCAACTCCACGAATAAACTCGAGAGATTTCTTGATACAGCTCTCAGAAAAGGCAACCGAGCAGAGATCTATCTACCCGGTTGCAGAGTGCCCAGCCTGAAACGGCGATTTTCGGTAAAGGCGGTGTTCTGCATAGAGTCGTCGTTGTTCATCTACTACAATGCACCTCGCTTCACTCTACTCTCAACATGCACAAGCGACTAAACGAACGGCCAAAATATTCAGTCAGTTACAAACAAGACGGGTTCACAAACGAGAGCGATTTCATTTACATCTACCAAAACACGCCACTGACTCGGATGTTCAAATACAAAAAGCCATTCGCGCGCAGTTTTCTCATCGACAACGTCGCCGCATCGGGCATCTCGCCGCATAAAGGGTCAGGTGCATCGAATCTACTACACATGACATTCACGAGACAACCAGGAGAGGCGTTTTTCCTTCATCTACATCGAATTCGCCGCGCACATTTCTTTCATTAAACCACCACCACTTGAACAAGCTATCGGCCGCGGAAACGTTTATACTCCGATGATTTTGGGCGCGCTCCTATAGTAGCCCCCGTACATTACCTAAAATCGTGGGGCATTAACCGGCACGACTCTAGGAAGTGCTTTTGGTCTAACAACCTCGCCACCTCTGGTCCAGCATATCGACTATAAACATCACATTCACGAACTCCATCGTTCAACAGCATCTACATCAATAGTCTAGCTATAAACGCTCCTTGGGTAGGTGAGATGGGTAGGTGAGATGGGGCAAAGCCGCACCACTCACCGAATACAACAAAAAGCGGAACGATGGTGCATCTTCGCAGGTTGAAAATGCATTCTCATTTTGTACATATGCTTGCGCGGCAACGCTCATAGATTCCTTACAATGAAGACAAGAAAGGTTTTCGCATGTTCTAGCGGAAGATGCATTCTCATTTCGTACACACCGTTAGTGCGGCGATGGCTATACATTCCCTACAACGAAGAGACGAATAGGAAAGCAAGATGTGACAGACAATCCGTACCCTGTAAGCGAAGAGGGAAGGACGGTCAGTTGCACATACACAACCAGACATGCACAACGACCCAAAAGCGACATCCTTCACTTCTCGAAGGACACTTCCAGCTCTGTTCAACGATCCATTAAACAGCCATATAACTATATAAGTCAGGCGCATTCAGGATCCTTCGGGACAATTTGACAGCTGCAGGCCTGCGCATAGACAGACACTGCCAGTCTATTCGGCCCCGACCAACAACGACCTAAAAACAAAATCAAAATCCCATACATCTCAGGTCATACTTACAATCCTTTTCCTATGTCGACAAAATTGTGTGCATATTCCAGAACTTCAGCATCAGCTAACAAAGCAGGCACGAACATAGTCATGCACTGACGAGTTCAGTGACCAGAGCTTCTGGTAGATCAAAGCACGGTGACCGAGAAAGTAGAAAGTTGATTTTGGCTTATAAATAGTTATATCCACTGGTGATAATGGTCGATTGATTTAAACAGCATACGAATTCAGTTTCCAGGGCCTCTGATAGATCCTAGCGTCTGCTCCGTGGGTCGTACACGTCCATACCTGTGTGCGAATATCCACTTGGGATCCACCTGTAGCGCTCTCGTTTTCATGTCCAACATGTTAAAAAAACTGCAAACACTTCGGCCTTGGCCATGACCATCCACGAAGTTCTATTTTGTTGAGGTTATATCATCGGCATATACTCGTGCTGTTCCGTTCAGACTCTTCCAAAATACAATTTACTGCAAAGCGTTCGAGTGCGAGCAGCGCAACCTTCATCACCTCTACGGTCTCACTGTCAGGATAAAAAGTTTAAAACCATCATCAATATCAGGCCAGTGGCCGTAGTTCTCACGTCTTCACGCATGAATGTCGTTTCATAATCGACTGACGTTTTTCGGTTCGAGTAAAACCTTCGGGCGTCGTCGCACGGTACACGAAACGAGAAACGAAACGAATGCATCTTCCCCCAGATATAGCCAGGCTCATCGGTTTGCTATAAACAGTAACGGCTGTATTTTGCCCCCTTCGGTGGGCGGATGCACTCGTTTCGTTTTCGTTTCGTGTGCCGTGCGGCGAGACCCTTCGTCGTGCCAAAGACGCGTAATTGGTTCAAACGAGTCGCATACTAAACAGGCATACTAACTTTCAAACTCATTCGACAGAGCTCTTGACGTGATTCCAGTCAAATGCATTCCCACCAGGCCTTAATAGTGTGTACATACATTTACGAAAGACCTACCTGTAGTATGAGTACGTCATACGGTATGGTTGTACTTACCGTCTGCTGGATGCAAATAAGCAAAAAGAGAAACCGACTGAAAACAAAACAAAAAGACTTAAGACATTGCTAGGCAGCACCAACAAGAGGGTGTCCACTACATTTTTGGACACGCTCAGCAGCACCACCACTGTCGTCGATTACAACCTCTAGCAAAATTCAAACACCTATAACACGTAAACATGCCAGAACGAAGCAAAAGTCGTTAAAGAAAAAAACACTGCCTCAATGATTTCTACATCACGGTAGTCCATACAACACTCTCGGTTAAAAAAAAACAGATCACATCAGATCATGTCCCATCGCAAGGGTTAATAATATAATATACTTGCAACAGCCACACAATTCCCCAATACACTTCACCACACCCACACAGTCCCGCAATATCCTTCACCACACCCACACCCGCACAATCCCCAGACACCAGGTTTCTAATAAATCAACTGACACAAACATCCCTTTCTTGGGGGGCAGCCAACGACATGACATGGACAAAGATTCCCTTACGTTGCATCATAATGTTACAAGAGACACCGAAAAATGTTGGACGCTAAATCGACTCACATACAATTGGATGATGTCGCTGGGTGGGTGAATATACTTTAAAACCAACACAGGCGTGAGACAATCCAGTTCGCGGCAGCAGAGCCCCCACTAACCCTTCCAAATGACCAGCCAACGTTATGGGACAAGGGTGTCGACTACATTCATAATGTCACAGGCAAATAACGAGCATCAAGTTTTCTGACGAAGAGAAAAGAGACTAACAACGTGGAGAGAATGAAAACAGTTCCTTTTCGAAGCGGAGCCTCTACTACACTTGTATCAAAACGGAGAGGGCGAAGGATGGCCCAAAGAAGCAAAAATTTCAAGCGAGTTCTGTTCCTAACCTACACCTCGACAAGTTCAAAAGTCCACTTGAATTGGCGACAGCACCGACGCATTAGCACACATCACGGCGTGGAGGGAGTGCGAGTGAAGAGGGAGAACACAAGCGCACACGGAAAGAAGAACACCGGCTTCCTCAGACGTCGATCATGCGTGGCAACTCCACAAACGGCTGCCCAAGAGCTCACGATGAACACCAACAAGAGACTTTGTATCGACGTATGCGCCTCTCAGCTGCGGTTGTAAGGGTGGTAACGCCCATTGCTAGGCCCAGGACCACCACCGGCGCCATATCCAGCTCTGCTACTACCGTATCCGCTGGCCCCTAAGCTACCGCTACCATATCCACCAGCCCCATAAGCACCCCCTCCATAACCAGCGCCGCTGCCTCCGGCGCTGCCATAACTCCCATACCCACCGCTCCCATAGGGGGAGTCTCCGTCACCATAGGCACCCAGACTGCTGCCATAACCCCCGCCCGACCCTAGGCCTGCACTGTAAGAGGCAAGCCCACTCCCATAACCCCCGCTCATCGAACTTCCCCCGCCGTACGAGCTGCCACCACCTCCATAACCTCCAGCAAGGGAGCTCCCACCACCATACCCACCCCCACCCCCGCCTCCCCCATATCCGCCCAGGCCCATCCCCCCCCCCCCCCCCCCCCCCGCTGCCATAACCGCTTCCCGCGCTGCCGTACCCTCCGCTGCCCGCGCTTCCGCCATAGCCACCGGCGCGTCCACCGAAACCTCCAGCGCCACCCGGGGCTCTCCCTGCGCCATAGCCTCCGGGGCCACCGTATCCCCCGCCGCCATAGCCTCCGCCATAAGCGCCGCCGAACCCACCGCCTCCCCCGCCGTACCCATCACCATATCCTCCAGGGCCATAGCCTCCGCCGTAACCAGCGCCTCTCGGAGCTGGACCCCCATAAGGAGGGGCACCACCCGGTCCCCCATACCCAGCTGGTCCCCCGTACCCACCTGGGCCGCCATATCCTCCGTACCCACCGGGGGGGCCAAAGCCCCCTTGCCCTCCGAAGCCGCCGGCTTCAGGTGGGCGCTTCGGCTCCGCTTTCTTGATTTCCACCTGTCGTCGCAAGCGCAATCCACAAAACAAAACGTCAGCCAAGGCATTCAAATCGAGTTTCCAAGCACGACGACCAGCCTAAACATGAGACCTTCGAACAAATGTCTCTATCGGGCAAGAGGTGGCCAATGCAAAACTCCCTCCCAACCTCACAATCCCCGTAAGCGACCAAACCACCAGCGGACCTAGCTCGGCTGGTAGGTACAGCAGCGTATGATCTGTTCAAATCCAAACCTCCAGTTCCAGCCAGCATATACGACTATTAAAACAGCGATTCAATTGAAATTATAACAGTTAAACACCAAACCCAACCCCCGATACGACCGACCACTTCAATTCAGGAGAAACCAGCTTCCCAGCACACACACTTGAGGAATCGCAAACAAGGGCATCATCAAACACTATAACACTTATTTTTATTTGTTTCTGGTTTCAAGTCATGTTTTATTAGTGGCCATGAGTTAGTTTTGTTGTTTCTGAAGCAAAAGATGATGTTATTCAACAAAATATAAATGGCCGGGATATCCTGGCCTTACGGGTACCACCTTTGAGTTAGTTTTGTTGTTTCTGAAGCAAGTTCCTGGGCTTCTAAGAGTTCGACATACGATGCCCTAAGAGATCCGTAAGGGTAATAACTTCCCAACACACTCGAGTAATCGCAGACAAGGGCATCCTCAAACACTCAGAGAGTTCGAGATATGATGACATAAAAGATCCGTAGGGTACAGAGGTCCGAACCCGGGGTTTCAAAAAAAAGCAAATTACCTCTTTACCCCCAATTTCTTGCCGTGTTCCCTCCGCAAGCACCTCCTCCACTGTGTTCTCGCTCTCGAACGTGACGAAACCAAACCCGCGTGAGCGCCCTGTGTGATGATCCTGCATAATCTGATGCTCTTCTACCTTACCGAACTTCGAGAAATACTCCTTAAATTCCGCTGAAGGAAACAACAACGCAGATCCAACATACGGACGACAAAAAACAATAACATTAGGGCTGCCTTCTCGCCTGCTGGCATTCATGCATTAGTGCATCCAAGTCTCCATGACTTATGGGAACATCATCAACGAATGCCTTCTCCAGTCTGCGCTACTGAACGCGACCAAAAATAAACGGCTATCAGAAACAATGCCCAGTTCCTTACCATCGGTAATAGATGGCGGCAAGCCACCCACAAAGATCTTTTTCGTCCTTGGCCCTTTCATGCACTCCCTTGGAACGGATTTCTTGACTTCGACCTGCCACAAACATCAACCAGAAAACGATTACTGAGACTTCTTATTCCGCTCGTTAACTTTACTCCACCGCAAGGCAGATGTGATAAGACAAACCCACAACTTGTTCTCTCTATACATTTTATAACTGAAACTACATTTCACATGTTATCTCAAGAAAGTGACACTCGTCACAAAAAAGTGACACTGAAACTACATTTCACATGTTCCCTCAAGAAAGTGACACTCGTCACAAAAAAGTGACACTCAACACTTCACACGTTGTTAAGAGATGCACCGAGGGCAATACTGTCAGCGCTCATTGCGCCACTGTGCCGTACGCCGCCTTTATCACCTTCCTCCCAACACAACGCACTCTCATGTTGGCTGTACCTGACCGTATTTATAGCCTGTATAAATTCATTGACAGGGTGTGTTGTGTTCGTGGGTACACATTCATTCCCAGATGTGAGAAAGCAATCCACAAGTCGATCACCCTGCTTCCTGACATCACATACGCCTTCCAGCTCACACTTATTGTTGCAGCGATGCTTCCTGACATCCTATACGCCTTCCAGCTCACACTTATTGTTGCAGCGAGGCCAGTGATACACAAAGCTCCTGTCTGCTCTACAGGCAAAATTCCGACAGCTCAGGACTGAACTTTCATTCACGACGCATGAAGACGGTCCGCGCCGCCCGCAGCTACGCCAAGACAGATCTGCAAAGACGTTATTTGTCGTTTCTGCGCCCGTTATCTTCATCATCCTTCTTTTCCTTCATTGTGTATTCCTCTTTCTTCGCTGCATCTCATCTTCATCGTTCCTTTCGTCCTCTTGTGCTGTTATAGAAAGAGACAACTGACCCCCTTCAACCGAAGAAAACGCCCGATCGTTATAGCTGTATTGGGTCCAACTTCCACTCCGGGTACAGACAAATACACACCGGGCGTCGTACTCAGTTGAAAACGGTAGGCGAAGTCAGATCTCCACAAGACTAGGATTCTGAGTCGCCGGAAGAAAATTATTATTAAAAGAAATTGGCGGGAAACCAGTCAAAGACGGGAGGCAACGTTTTCGCGGGAACAAAAACCACGTGCAGAGCATCAAGAAAATAACAATTCCAGGAGGGTAGTGCTATTAAACAAATTACTGAGTTGAAGTGCTATAAACAAATTACTAAGGTAAATAGTGCTATTAAACAAATTACTGAGGTAAGTACACACGGTACATATAACTGCGAGCAATCGCTGCGCAAACAATTCCGACACGTGATCCATTCATTGGACTTGACATATATTGTCGCAAAGTTGTCAGAGAGCAAAATCATAAGGAAAACAGAAAACAAAGAAAAATAAATTCATATTTATTTTCTTCCTTGTATAAATCACATAAATCCAAGATAGGGGTTCAAAAAACACAAGGCAGAGGTAAGGCAACAGGCGATACGCGATTCCTGCAGTAGTTACTCACCGTTCGTCCATCGATGCAATGCGTGTCCTTCAGCGCACGATCACATATGGATGGATCCCGAAATGTGACGAAGCCAAAACCACGAGGATGACCCGAGTTCCGATCTTTCATGATGACGGCATCGATAATTTCTCCATACTTCCTGAAGTGCCTGGTCAGATTTTCTGCAAATACGAATTTCCAAAAATAATTGTCAGTGGGCTCAAGAACCGGCCGCTACATCCAACAGCAACAGCTAACATCATCATCATAATGATGTCTCTCTCGATCCATTGGACAAGAATCGCAATGCATGGGACGTGGAGGGCGCTCGAAACACGTTCAGAAGTGCTCGATCACTTCGGATGAATCGGGTCAACACAGGCAGTCCAGATGCCTCTCGAACGACGAGTCACTTGGAGAGAGACCCGTACAAATCCAAAAGTGCTCGATCACTTCGGATGTATCGGGTCTAGGTGGCAGTCCAGATGCCTCTCGAACGACGACCCGTACACATTCAAAAGTGCTCGATCACTTCGAATGTACCGGGTCTAGGTGGCAGTCCACATGCCTCTCGAACAAGTCATTGGAGCGAGACCCGTACATGAACGATCAAAGCAACAACGCCTGTTCCTACAAAACCAACAGCGCGAAGCGTCATAAGGTCCCCTCCAAGTTATCCACATCTCATCATAAACGCAATCCCGATGCTCAACCGACACAACCCTCCAAATAACCTCTCCCAAAACCACGGTCCTCTGATCTCCTACCACACGTATTGCAAGACCGTCTTCATTCAAACTATAGCACCGTCGTTTCGCTAAACCTGACCAAAATTATAGCTCATGACATTCATTCACAGGGCGCATTATATTATGTTCCGACAAAGACGGTAGTCCAGATCATAGAGACAGAATTGATAGAGACTATGTATCAGGAAAGGTTACGTTCTCTCTCCCTCTCTCTCTCTCTCTCTCACACACACAAAAACACAAAAAAGAGAAGTCTGGCAGTGTATATTTCCATGTCTAACGGAAGATTCGTTCGATTTGGCTCATAGGAATATCAGCTGACCAACGCATCCCGGACCACAACCTAACCCTCCCAATAACCCCCCCGCCCGTAACCAAGACATAGACAGATGTGGAGGGTTGTATAAGAAGCAGCTGAAGGCGCGGAGGGATGTATAAGAAACATCTGACCGAAAATATGAGTACACGACGCATACAGATCTACCAAGAGCACAGACGGCTAAAGAATCTCGTCGTTCATTCACTAATTGAAACGATGGGGATACAGGGACGCTTGAACTTTCAGCGCAGTCCTTCCACATAACCCCCTACAACAGATAGTAACCAGCAATACGCACCCCTATACATACCTACCAAGACGAGCGACTTTGAAGGTTTGCATTCATTTATTCAAGGATGCCAGACCTCCGATTGACCAGTAGCTAAACCTTTACAGAGTGCAGTCCACTATGGCCTCCTAGAACAGGTACTGCCTAGTTAAAGCTCTACTCAAAAAGAAGATGCTAAACTCAAAACGAAGACGCTGCGTAACATTACTACCAGTAGTAGTATCAGCATACATAGGAGTGAGTATCGAAAGACTTATGCGTAACAAGCCTTACCAGTAAGGAATAACAGCATGTATCTTATACCCATAAGACCATCGACGTTCGGAGGTATGCAATAAACATGTCTTACGGGTACCAAAGGGAGACTAAAGGCAAGACAAGCCCTCAGCACATTAGCACATATCTTGCGAACGATACCATCGAAGATTGAACGGACATCCAGGAGTTAAAAAAAAAATTGCTTTTCCATTCGTTAGTACTTTAGAGCGTAGGACCCCTTCCTCTGCAGTCCCACAACCTTCACGCACAGTTTCTACTAGAAGGATATCTATGGAGACTAGGCGTGACAAACACTCAGGATAAGCAAATATCTTACAAACAATGCCATAGACATCCATCCACTGCAGTCCAACAACCTTCACGCACAGTTTCACCTAAACAAGACATCTTTAGAGACTTGGCGTGACAAGCCCTCAGAACAAGCATATACCCTTGTACT